ATAGACTTTTCCACGACATAAATAAACTCATGTTGTAGTATTGATCCAGACTAAAGGCCTATGCAATACGCCCTAACTGGCCTCTCCCAGCAATTAGTGGTCAGGTAATGGTGCCTGCAACCACAGGAGACCAATTGCCTGTTAAGGGGGGGGGGGGCTTTTGTCCTAGTTAACGAGAGGCGCTCTGCAGGGCTCCATCTTAACAGGCTGGCTGCAGCCTGTCCAAGCCTGCAATGCCAGCATGCAATAATATTAGTTAAATGGTGGACTGCGGGAGTTTGAAGGCATGTTGCACTGTTTATAGGTATGTTGCCCATTCACTGCTAGGTGAACAGAGGCGTACAGATAACGACTGGTACCCAGTCAATCCTTTCTGGCCTGGATACGAACCCCCAGGCCGGAGCATGCGAAGCTGCTGGCCGGGTGCTTTACCACTGCGCCACGGAGGATTGTTGCTTCACTAAACATCTGGTGATGTAGGGCTGACACACAAACACCCGGTGACTGGTCCCGGATATGAGAGTCTGGAGACCCATAGCGAGGTGTGGGGAACCCGCACTATGAGTGTTCTTAGGTGTTCTTCAGTCACTGCTCCGGCGACGAGTTCTCGAACAGTGTCTCCTTGACGGGTCTCACTTCTCTGCCGAATGTCACTGTAACTGCTCCTTTTGGGGTGGGGGTGTATGGTAACTGTAACTGCTCCTTTGGGGGGGGGTGCATGGTAACTGTAACTGCTCCTTTGGGGGGTGTATGGTAACTGTAACTGTTCCTTTGGGGGGTGTATGGTAACTGTAACTGCTCCTTTTGGGGGGTGTATGGTAACTGTAACTGCTCCTTTGGGGGGTGTATGGTAACTGTAACTGCTCCTTTGGGGGGTGTATGGTAACTGTAACTGCTCCTTTGGGGGGGTGTATGGTAACTGTAACTGTTCCTTTGGGGGGGTGTATGGTAACTGTAACTGCTCCTTTTGGGGGGTGTATGGTAACTGTAACTGCTCCTTTGGGGGGTGTATGGTAACTGTAACTGTTCCTTTGGGGGGGTGTATGGTAACTGTAACTGCTCCTTTGGGGGGGTGTATGGTAACTGTAACTGCTCCTTTGGGGGGGTGTATGGTAACTGTAACTGTTCCTTTGGGGGGGTGTATGGTAACTGTAACTGCTCCTTTGGGGGGTGTATGGTAACTGTAACTGCTCCTTTGGGGGGGGTGTATGGTAACTGTAACTGCTCCTTTGGGGGGGGTGTATGGTAACTGTAACTGCTCCTTTGGGGGGTGTATGGTAACTGTAACTGCTCCTTTGGGGGGGTGTATGGTAACTGTAACTGCTCCTTTGGGGGGGGTGTATGGTAACTGTAACTGCTCCTTTGGGGGGGTGTATGGTAACTGTAACTGCTCCTTTGGGGGGGGTGTATGGTAACTGTAACTGCTCCTTTGGGGGGTGTATGGTAACTGTAACTGCTCCTTTGGGGGGGTGTATGGTAACTGTAACTGTTCCTTTGGGGGGGGTGTATGGTAACTGTAACTGCTCCTTTGGGGGGGTGTATGGTAACTGTAACTGTTCCTTTGGGGGGTGTATGGTAACTGTAACTGCTCCTTTGGGGGGTGTATGGTAACTGTAACTGCTCCTTTGGGGGTGTATGGTAACTGTAACTGCTCCTTTGGGGGGTGTATGGTAACTGTAACTGCTCCTTTGGGGGGGTGTATGGTAACTGTAACTGCTCCTTTGGGGGGGGTGTATGGTAACTGTAACTGCTCCTTTGGGGGGGTGTATGGTAACTGTAACTGCTCCTTTGGGGGGGTGTATGGTAACTGTAACTGTTCCTTTGGGGGGGTGTATGGTAACTGTAACTGCTCCTTTGGGGGGGGTGTATGGTATCTGTAACTGCTCCTTTGGGGGGGTGTATGGTAACTGTAACTGTTCCTTTGGGGGGTGTATGGTAACTGTAACTGCTCCTTTGGGGGGGTGTATGGTAACTGTAACTGTTCCTTTGGGGGGTGTATGGTAACTGTAACTGCTCCTTTGGGGGGTGTATGGTAACTGTAACTGCTCCTTTGGGGGGTGTATGGTAACTGTAACTGCTCCTTTGGGGGGGGTGTATGGTAACTGTAACTGCTCCTTTGGGGGGGGTGTATGGTAACTGTAACTGCTCCTTTGGGGGGTGTATGGTAACTGTAACTGCTCCTTTGGGGGGGTGTATGGTAACTGTAACTGCTCCTTTGGGGGGGTGTATGGTAACTGTAACTGCTCCTTTGGGGGGTGTATGGTAACTGTAACTGTTCCTTTGGGGGGGTGTATGGTAACTGTAACTGTTCCTTTGGGGGGGTGTATGGTAACTGTAACTGTTCCTTTGGGGGGGTGTATGGTAACTGTAACTGTTCCTTTGGGGGGGTGTATGGTAACTGTAACTGTTCCTTTGGGGGGGTGTATGGTAACTGTAACTGTTCCTTTGGGGGGGTGTATGGTAACTGTAACTGCTCCTTTGGGGGGGTGTATGGTAACTGTAACTGCTCCTTTGGGGGGGTGTATGGTAACTGTAACTGTTCCTTTGGGGGGGTGTATGGTAACTGTAACTGTTCCTTTGGGGGGGTGTATGGTAACTGTAACTGTTCCTTTGGGGGGGTGTATGGTAACTGTAACTGCTCCTTTGGGGGGGTGTATGGTAACTGTAACTGTTCCTTTGGGGGGGTGTATGGTAACTGTAACTGTTCCTTTGGGGGGTGTATGGTAACTGTAACTGCTCCTTTGGGGGGTGTATGGTAACTGTAACTGTTCCTTTGGGGGGTGTATGGTAACTGTAACTGCTCCTTTGGGGGGTGTATGGTAACTGTAACTGCTCCTTTGGGGGGGTGTATGGTAACTGTAACTGCTCCTTTGGGGGGGTGTATGGTAACTGTAACTGCTCCTTTGGGGGGGTGTATGGTAACTGTAACTGCTCCTTTGGGGGGGTGTATGGTAACTGTAACTGCTCCTTTGGGGGGGTGTATGGTAACTGTAACTGTTCCTTGTATATCGGAATAAAATATAAAACAATGTTTTTTGGGTTCCAAGGGTAAGGGAACCTGTCATTATTTACCAGTTCGCAGTTAGTAAAGTTAAACAGTTTACCGCCATCTATTGGCTTGATTAGCTGATCTGTCTACCAGATGGAAATATTTTCCACAGCTTCCTCCATCACCTCCTCTTCTCTCCCACCCTCCTCACTCTCCTATTCTCTCCCTATCTCCCTCCTTCTTTTCGTCACTCTCTCTCTCTCACTCTCTCTCTCTCTCTCTCTCTCTCTCTCTCTCTCTCTCTCTCTCTCTCTCTCTCTCTCTCTCTCTCTCTCTCTCTCTCTCTCTCTCTCTCTCTCTCTCTCTCTCTCTCTCTCTCTCTCTCTCCTCGCAAGTGACCCACAAAGACTCAAAGTTACACTCGTCATGAAACAGTTCAGCAGTTAAGGCTCGAGAGGGCGAGGTGAGAACGGCCTCTCAACAGCCAATTGAAAATGATCTTTTCCCCCTTGACTGATCACCGACAAAGCCCTAATTGGAGTTAATTAAGCGGCGGGTTGACTAAATTGGCAGCGAGCGGGGAATTCGGATACACAAAATGTCTGTTCGTTCGTTAGTGATGGACGAGTGGTGCCATCTGGCGACGGTGTAACGAGCCTTCTGAGACAACACTTGAATTGCGGTCCTTGGCTGTCGTTAGAGGCTGTTGGCTATCGATAATATGGATGGTTCTTCCAATCCTCATTACCTTACACTTGCTGGAACTGAATTCCAGCAACCATTTGTTTACCCTGGAGTTTGTCAAGGTCTTCCTGGGACATACTGTAGTCGTCCTCTGTTTTTTACATATCCCATTAGCTTTATCCCCTTCTGTGAACATTTACTCGTACGAATTCACTCCCTCGCATGAGTTCGAGTTATATCAACCAGAATGTGGAGTTTGATGTGTAAATATATCTCAATTAGAGATACTTTAAAGAGAGAAGATTGAATGATATAATTACCATGAGACAAGTCGCAACTGCCAAAGACTAAGCAATACGTTACTTCCTTGAGACCTGGGATCACACTGACTCAGAAAGGCTTATATGATTACAAGTTGCAACATCTTCTCTTCATGTTGTTACTTGTAAAATGTATCAAGTAGATTGTAAGTAGTTGTAGAGTACACGAAAGTACTTGAATATCTCCAAGTGTATTTCCTAAAATAAAAAGACATTCATTAAGGGGCATTTTAAGTACTTCTATCATAATATTGCAAATACATGTATTTGAAAGCAGGTACTTTTAAATACCGAGCAAAAAGGTAGATACTTGAAGTCAATCCTGGTACTATCTTCACACACCGTCTCGCACATATACCTGTCCACACCTGCTGGTGTATATATATATGTTGTACCTAGTAGCCAGAACGTCGTACTTGGCCTACTATGCAAGGCCCGATTTGCATAATAAGCCAAGTTTTCCTGAATTTAAATATTTTTCCAATTTTTTTCTTATGGAATGATAAATCTGTCCATTTCATTTTGTATAAGTTAATTTGTTTAAATTTGAGTTAAAACTAACGTAGATATATGACCGAACCTAACCAACCCTACCTAACCTAACCTATCTTAACCTAACCTAACCTAACCTAACCTAACCTAACCTATCTTAACCTAACCTAAACTAACACACCTAAGTCAATAAATTATGGTCCTAATATAAAATAATAATAACAATTCAAATAAACTATTTGGAAAAAATTATTGAAAATAAAGAAAATCACTCGGCCTATTAGGCAAATCGGGCCTTGCATAGTAGGCCGAGAAGTGCGTTCTGGCTACTAGGTACGACATATATATATATATATATATATATATATATATATATATATATATATATATATATATATATATATATATATATATATATATATATATATATATATATATATATATATATATATATATATAATTATGCTGTCTAAAATACTGTCTCTTTCCTTGCTGTGTGTGTGGCTGCGGATCAGTGCTGACGGAGAGTACATCATCACTACCATGACTAAAGCAGTCCTTCACTACAACGGGATCGTCACCTGGTCTCCTCCGGCCATCTTCAAGTCCTCGTGTGTCATCGACGTCCGCTATTTTCCCTTCGACCAGCAGGACTGCTTCATGAAGTTTGGGTCTTGGACCTACGATGGGTACCAGGTGAGTCGCCTGCTCCACTACCCCCATTCTGACGAGTACCAGGTGGGTATACTCGTCGGGTGCGGGGTACTACTAATTCTTGGGATACTCGTAGAGCTCCAGGGGGGTATACCTGTAAACTCACGAGTTCAGTGATCATAGCAGTGACTCCTGAGCCTACAGGAGGGCCGAGCTGAGTATTATCAAATAGTTACAATGATGCATATCGCGTGTAGTGAAGAAGTTCACTGTATAAAACTTGTTTGCAATGGTAATTTGCACGAGATTTAGACTCATAATTGAACTCCGGAAAGGATCCAGCATAGCAATGTTTCAGTGTTGCAACCGGATGCCTTAGATAATATATATATATATATATATATATATATATATATATATATATATATATATATATATATATATATGCGAACAAGCCTGAATGGTCCCCAGGACTATATGCGAATGAAAACTCACACCCCAGAAGTGACTCGAACCCATACTCCCAGAAGCAACGCAACTGGTAACTACAGGGCGCCTTAATCCGCTTGACCATCACGGCCGTCAAAAGGAAGTGATAGCCGAGGCTATTTGAGCCACTTCCCCGACGGCAACTCGGATGGTAATCTTGGGCATAGCATTTCACCAAATCACCTCATTCTTTGGGGCACACGTGAGGAACACAAATGCGAACAAGCCTGAATGGTCCCCAGGACTATATGCGAATGAAAACTCACACCCCAGAAGTGACTCGAACCCATACTCCCAGAAGCAACGCAACTGGTAACTACAGGGCGCCTTAATCCGCTTGACCATCACGGCCGTCAAAGGAAGTGATAGCCGAGGCTATTTGAGCCACTTCCCCGACGGCAACTCGGATGGTAATCTTGGGCATAGCATTTCACCAAATCACCTCATTCTTTGGGGCACACGTGAGGAACACAAATGCGAACAAGCCTGAATGGTCCCCAGGACTATATGCGAATGAAAACTCACACCCCAGAAGTGACTCGAACCCATACTCCCAGAAGCAACGCAACTGGTAACTACAGGGCGCCTTAATCCGCTTGACCATCACGGCCGTCAAAAGGAAGTGATAGCCGAGGCTATTTGAGCCACTTCCCCGACGGCAACTCGGATGGTAATCTTGGGCATAGCATTTCACCAAATCACTTCATTCTTTGGGGCACACGTGAGGAACACAAATGCGAACAAGCCTGAATGGTCCCCAGGACTATATGCGAATGAAAACTCACACCCCAGAAGTGACTCGAACCCATACTCCCAGAAGCAACGCAACTGGTAACTACAGGGCGCCTTAATCCGCTTGACCATCACGGCCGTCAAAAGGAAGTGATAGCCGAGGCTATTTGAGCCACTTCCCCGACGGCAACTCGGATGGTAATCTTGGGCATAGCATTTCACCAAATCACCTCATTCTTTGGGGCACACGTGAGGAACACAAATGCGAACAAGCCTGAATGGTCCCCAGGACTATATGCGAATGAAAACTCACACCCCAGAAGTGACTCGAACCCATACTCCCAGAAGCAACGCAACTGGTAACTACAGGGCGCCTTAATCCGCTTGACCATCACGGCCGTCAAAAGGAAGTGATAGCCGAGGCTATTTGAGCTTGTTCGCATTTGTGTTCCTCACGTGTGCCCCAAAGAATGAGGTGATTTGGTGAAATGCTATGCCCAAGATTACCATCCGAGTTGCCGTCGGGGAAGTGGCTCAAATAGCCTCGGCTATCACTTCCTTTTGACGGCCGTGATGGTCAAGCGGATTAAGGCGCCCTGTAGTTACCAGTTGCGTTGCTTCTGGGAGTATGGGTTCGAGTCACTTCTGGGGTGTGAGTTTTCATTCGCATATAGTCCTGGGGACCATTCAGGCTTGTTCGCATTTGTGTTCCTCACGTGTGCCCCAAAGAATGAGGTGATTTGGTGAAATGCTATGCCCAAGATTACCATCCGAGTTGCCGTCGGGGAAGTGGCTCAAATAGCCTCGGCTATCACTTCCTTTTGACGGCCGTGATGGTCAAGCGGATTAAGGCGCCCTGTAGTTACCAGTTGTGTTGCTTCTGGGAGTATGGGTTCGAGTCACTTCTGGGGTGTGAGTTTTCATTCGCATATAGTCCTGGGGACCATTCAGGCTTGTTCGCATTTGTGTTCCTCACGTGTGCCCCAAAGAATGAGGTGATTTGGTGAAATGCTATGCCCAAGATTACCATCCGAGTTGCCGTCGGGGAAGTGGCTCAAATAGCCTCGGCTATCACTTCCTTTTGACGGCCGTGATGGTCAAGCGGATTAAGGCGCCCTGTAGTTACCAGTTGCGTTGCTT